AGTATAAATGAATTGTATTAGCCCCTTGAATCAGACTGGTTGGTAGATACTGACAAATAAAGAAGTAACAGCGCTGAATAATCAGGCAAAAAATCGTGAAAAAAAGCATGTGCTACTTTTCGTTAAGTGCCGAGGGAACCCTGTTTATTCGACTACCCTCACTTGTGGAAGATGTTACATTGGCCAAACAGGTGGATGCATAAATGATAGGTTAAGTGAACATGCTCACTTGCTGAAAGCGTCTGTGCGGAGCCATCTTGCAAACCATTGCAAAAAATGTGATTGTGAAGCAATCTTTAAAAGATTAGGAGATTATAGGCACCTACACAGAACAAAGCCAACGGGAAATTTCTCAGGCTTTTTGCATCCAGGAAATAGGATAGCATTGTGTCAGCGTGGCTTGAGTATTGCTTCAAAAAATGAAATAAAGTATCTAGGCACCTGCACATAACAAAGCCAATGGGAAATTTCTGAGGCTTTTAGCATCCAGGAAAGAGGAGAGCATTGTGTCAGCGTGGCTGCAGTATTGCTTCGAAAAAATGAATTAAAGTATCTAGGCACCTACACAGAACAAAGCCAACGGGAAATTTCTCAGGCTTTTAGCATCCAAAAAAGAGGAGAGCATTGTGTCAGCGTGGCTGCAGTATTGCTTCGAAAAAAATGAATTTAAATATCCCTCGAAAATGTGATTCGGCATGTTTCAGCGTTAACCTGTTTCTTTATACCTTCACAGATTGAAGTTTCCTGCGCATATTGACGTATAAACGCAATAAAATATGCTCATTCGTCGGCGCCGTGTTTATTCATGTAGAAAACTTCATATTTACTAAAAATAGAAAAATATTATTAGCCATTATTTTGCAAAATTTTTATTGTTCATGATTAGACACACTGGCCGATAAGCTTTCCACAGCACAATAAAACATTGGCACCATATTGCCCCTCAATCGATATTCTATTGAATAGTGAATTAGGCTTACATAGTGAAACGATAACATGTTATTTGTCCCCCCACCCCCTGAAGATGATAATCCTACCCAATTTCAGAGGAGGGCACTCACTCGGTGTTGAATGGAAATTCAAGATGGTGGCAGGAGAGCAGCTAAAAATAAAAAAATTACCATCCATGTTTCCAATCAAGTGCCTTATTTATAAAACATTTTATAAACACTACTAGACACGCATTCAGTGCACTCATTCTTGAGGTTCACAATAGATGCTCGTCTAAAAAAAGTCCCAGGAGAGGAGGGTAAGGGGGTGCTTGCTCGACCTTGACGCTAATTTCAGATTTCCAAAAAAACTTATCGCTTCTCGGCCTTTTGGCTAAGATCAAAGTGTATATGTGGCTCTCCCACTTTTGATCTTTACAGCCAAAGGTCGAGAGACGGTCCCTCCTGGGGATTTGGCCGCCCTGGAAGGTCACCTTTCGCCGGCCGCACGGGTCATCACTGTTCCTGGGTCTACCTGGTTCCTTGGACCTGCTGAACCACCGAAAGAGTCTCCAGCCATCAACCAACGCGGCGGGCCCACCAGCGGGAGCAGACGTCCTCCGGGAGTGATAAGAGTCTACAAGCCTTTTCTTGCCTGCCACTCCCGGCCCGGTCGTCAATGCCTGCTGGCGACCTCCACGGGCCCCGGTCCTCGTGACCACCTCGCCGCCGTCGTCGTCCGAGCCTACCGGCCCGGATATCAAGCCACGGGGACGTGGACATCTACTGACGAGGCGTTCCAGTCCAGCCAGCGGGAGAAGACACCCTCCGGGAGTGGTGAGCATCTACAAGCCTTTTCTTGCCTGCCGCTCCCGGTCCGGTCACCAATGCCCGCTGGTGACACCAACGGACCCTGGTCATCGTTGCCACTTCGCCGCCATCGTCGTCGTTGCCCGGGCCTCCCTGCCCGGACGTCCATCCACGAGATCCTGCGATCTGGAGGAGTTCCTGCCTGGCGATGCCTACCCCCCGCCGACCACCTGCCGAGTCCATCGAGCCGCTCGCCCCGGGTTCCGGTAGTCGTCGGCGGCGTCCCGCTTCCCCTTCGAGTTTGAGCACCCCGGCGCCGCCGCCGGCCCAGCGGCCTCCTCCTGGCCCCCCCGCGTCTACTGGCGTTTCTGCGGCAGCGTCGGGCCCTCCTCGCTCTCGACCGCCCGTCGTTCACCAGGGCATCATGACGGTGTACCTGCCGGTGCCTGGGATCCTGCGTTGTCCTTATCCCTGTTGCGCGGGCTGCCAAGCCCGCACATCTGTTTCGCTCCGACTGTCCGCGTGGCGGTCCCACATGGAGCAAAAACACGGGGTTAGGCCAACGAGGCATCTCTACCAGTGCGTCGCCTGTGATGCCCGGTTGACTTCGCTGTCCGCCCGCCACGACTGCCCGGGTCCTGCCACGAACGAGCCCTTCCACCCCTGCCGGTACTGCCCAAGTTACTTCAATTGCGAGCACTCATTGACCCGGCATACCATGGCACGGCATGCGCAAGAGGAATCCACCCCACACGTACCTCTTCGCAACCCACGGCAGCCTACGGCGACTCCATCCAGTTCTTCTGGTACAGAGACCCCACCATCTCCCGGTCCAGCTCCTTCGAGTACAGCTCGCCGAGTCCCACAAGAACGACAGACCAGAGAAACCGTTTCCCGGTCTCGAAGACGTCGTGGAGGCAAGTCTTCCACATCGACGCCATCCTCGAATACCGGTTGGGTATACAGTACCTTGGCTACCAGTTCTCCGTCGGCTTCACGGTCTACCACGTCCTCCACGCCGGACAACTTAGCAACTACCCCTTATTCCGGTTTCACGACGCGTCGACCGTCACCTTCGGATCCTGGACCGCCGACACCCGTGCCCCCCGACCGACCCACAACTGGCGAAACGACTGTTACGCCTGGTACGTGATCTCTTCCGACTCCCTTTCCTGGTTCATCAATCTCTCGTTCGGTTTCCCCTTCATCTTCACTCCCGGAACAGACTGATGACTCTGGCGAACCGGTTAACGATGATGACGCCCCTGACGTACCAGTGGACGACCCAGCAATGGACAAGCCACCAGATAACACGGCTTTGCTTGCACAGCAAGTACAATCGCTGCGTGCCACACTGCGCAATTCACCAACGCAGGATTCTTGGGCAATATGTGAGCAGGCGTGGACACAAGCCGTTACCTTAGCTACGGAGGCTGTTCGTCTCCCTCCTGTAGTACCTGGTCGGTCCCCACGCTCCATCAACCCCGAGAATGCCACAGACATCCAGCGATTATACCGCCGGAATCGCCGTCGTGCTGTGCGACTGATCCTCGAGGGTCCTCCCCGGTCCTGCGACATACCACTTCAGGAGCTACAGGATCATTGGGGCTCTACCTGGTCTCGCCGCACAGCTGACACGACAACCCTCTTTCAACGACCTATGGCCCCCGCACCCGTGAATATGGCGTCTTTCTCGGCAGACGAGGTCCTTCTCAGGCTTCGAAAGTCGGAGAATACAGCTCCTAGCTCCGACAGACTCACGTACCGTCACAGAAAGTCCGTCGACCCAGACGCTAAATTCCTGTCTGCCCTTTTTAACGCCTGTAATCACCACCGACGAACACCTGATTCATGGCGGACCTCAAGGACAGTATTAATTCACAAGAGAGGGGACCCTTCGATTCCTGGAAATTGGCGACCGATAGCACTCGGAAGTACGGCCTCGAAACTATACGCCAAGTGCCTGGAAACCCGACTACAAACATGGATTACGGACCATCAAATCTTTTCACATTGTCAGAAGGGCTTTCTACCGCACGATGGGGTATTCGAGCTCAATTATGTACTCCAGCACAAGTTCGATGCGGCAAGAGCTGGTGGCCCGGACTTCTGTGCAGCACTATTTGATTTCACCATTGCTTACGGGTCCGTGCCCCATCAAGCCCTCTTCGACGCTCTACGAGCAGCCGGTGCTGGAGAAATATTCACCGAGCTAGTCGCAGATCTCTACCGCGAAAACAATACCCTCATCGTCCCAGCCAAAGGAGTGACAGAGCCTGTACCTATCCGATCGGGTCTCCGCCAAGGTTGCCCCCTATCGGGGTTTGCTTTTTAACCTCGTCGTGGACTCAATCATTCGTGGCATACAGGGCGACCGCGAAGACCATAAGATCCTCGCATACGCAGACGACCTTACGCCATTGGCCGACACCCCTTCCCTTCTATAGCAGCGAATTGACACGGTGGAGGCCCTAGCCGGTCTTCTTGGACTAGCTTTGAACCCATCAAAGTGCTCCACTGTGCATATGAGTGGCATCACCCTCGTCGGAATGCGTCCTACCGTATTCCGGGTGTCCGGCGTCCCTGTATCAGCACTCGAAAACTCCGAGCCACTGCGATTCTTGGGACGCCCGGTGGGTTTTCGCCTTCCAGCTGGGACCGGATCTTCAGCTGTGGACGACACCATCTGCCAAGCGAGGGCCCTCTTCTCTTCTCTACTTGCCCCCTGGCAGCGCATCGACGCACTGAAATCTTTCGTATACCCGGCCCTAAACTTCGCCATGCGATGCGGGGTACTTGGGAAGTCCGACTGGCGCCATCTCGACGACGCTATCCGACCACTTGTCAAATAAACCCTCTACTTGCCGACCAACGCATCCACCAATTACGTCTACGGGAGCTCTGCTGGCGGAGCAGTCGCCATTCCTGTGACTGCCGAGTTAAGCGACATTTTGCCGCGTCGACTCGGCATTCAAACTCCTCACGACGTCTGATCGGTGCTTGCGCGAGTTGGCACACTCCGACGCCTATGACATCGCCTCGACGCGCCTCGGATCGGAGGTGACCCGATTCGAACTCGAAGCTTATCTGTCCGGCGACCTCCCAGGAGTTCACTCCTCACCTGCCACACAGCTTCGCTCTGTGTGGACGGAGGCCCGTAAGGAATCCCGGCGGTTACGTGTCTCGTGGTCGTTAGACCCCGACCACGTCACCATCTCGTGCGGCGACGTCACCTTACCGCCTTCACATCGCAACCGCGTCATGCGGTCTCTGCGCGATGTACTCGCCGCAGATCGCGACAACGCCCTGCATGCACAGTCCAACGAAGGCAAAGTCATGGCTTGCGTCTCGGCGGATCGCGCCAGTTCCCACTTCATGCGGAGTGGAGCGTTATCACACTTCGCGGACTGGCGCTTCATTAACCGAGCGCGTCTGAACCTACTGCCTGTGAACGGTTCAGTCATGTGGGGTCCCGCCGATCGCGATCAGCGTTGCCGGGTCTGCGGATACCAACGAGAGACTTTACCGCATCTGCTGTGCCACTGCATGACGCACAGCGCCATGTATCAGGCGCGGCAAAACGCGGTGGTCAAACGTCTACGTACAGCCGCAACCCGTCAATTCACGGTGGCTTACGAGAACCGGTTCGTCGGCGACACTGGACTACGTCCTGACCTGGTCGTTGTGCGCGGCGAGGAGGCCTTGGTGATTGACGTGGCTTGTCCATTCGAAAACACACCAGAGGGCTTCTCGAACGCCCGCAACGACAAGCTCGCCAAGTACGAACCCGTCGCTGCCTACCTCCGCCGACGCTACCAGAGAGTGACGGTGGCCGCACTCATCGTTGGAACACTTGGCGCCTGGGATCCAGCCAACGACCGCGTCCTGAGGCGACTATGTTCCAGATTTTATCTGCGGCTGATGAAGAAACTTTGCGTCAGCGAGGTCGTGGCGGCGCCTCGGTCCGTTTACCACACTCACGTCGGCCACAGCCGCAACAAACTTTATTCTACTCTTACGAAGCCTTGTCCCCTCCTTGGTCAACTAATCACCGCCATCGAACCACTACACACGGGTTCCTGTCCAGCACAAGGTCCCTGGTCATAATGTTCTCGAAAACACCACAACCGGTGCCTACCTGGTGCTCTCCTCGATCTTGGCCTACGTCCCAAAGGGTTCACCTTCTGGCATCGCCTCCCCGGGGCCCTTTGCAGCCGATGGTACTGGTCTCATCAAAATTACAGACGAGTGCATTTACAGTCACTTCCCCGCAGGGGCGCCTGCGCAAGTAGGCGTTTGGTGTGTGGCGACACCACGGACCCGAGCTAACGGGGGAGTTGCGGCCCCCTCCCACGCCTAGCCGTGCGTGGCTTTGCCGTGTCCGGGAAAAAGGGGATCCTGGGGGTTGAGCTGACGCTCGGTGATTGCACCTATAAGGCCCCCCGGCAGAGGCAACACACCCCTTTGGCCCCGGTTTCACGTAGACGGCACCCCTGGGCTGACCCACCCAGGGGAAATCGGCAGTCGCCTTTTCCTATCTCTCTCTCTGCCTACATCTTCGTCTTTATTTCTCACTATCTATCTGTCCTGTCTTCTACTCTCTTCTGTTTACTTCCAAATTTCCTGGCGGCAAGGGTTAACCTTGTGTAGTTACCCAACCTTGGGTAGGTATATCTGGTTATAGCGGCGATGTATGACTGGCGCCTTCAAGTGTTCTACCTTGTAGCGTCCTCCTGTTGGGCTCGGTGGTGGGTGGTCACCATCGCCGCCGAACATGAAGTCCACCACATGGCAAAATCGTTCCCCCCCTCAATGATCGGTCCCTGAAAAGGAACCGCATCGATGAAAGTTCCAAACGAACCGGAAGCGATTGTGAGCACTTCCCACGCTTCCTAGTCATACACTCTCTGGCAGATAACGTCTCTGTTGCAGGACTGTCGGTTTTCCTGATAACTAAAACCCTTGCTAACTTAATAGGCAAAAAGTACGACGCAAAGAAACTGTCAACCAGTGATCTTCTTGAAGTAAGCCAGAAAGAGCATGCAAACACTCTCCTTAAACAGAAGCAGTTTGCCCACCTGAATGTGTCTATCACCCCCCATCGCAGCCTTAACACTGTTCAAGGCGTCATTTCACAACGTGATCTGATGCGAGAAACTGAAGCTGACCTCCTTGAAGGCTTTCGAGAGCAAGGCGTAGTCGCCATCCGCCGGATAACCATCAGGCGAAACAATGAAGAAGTGGTGACGCCTCATATAGAACTTACATTCAACCGCTCCACTCTGCCAGAATCCGTGAAAGCTGCGTTCCTTCACTGCAAGGTCCGCCCCTACATACCCAACCCTAGAAGGTGCTACAAATGCCAGAAATATGGACATGGGTCGAATACCTGTCGCGGAAAACAAACATGTGCAAAATGTGGTGATCATGAGCACCCAACAGAGAGCTGTACTTCCACGCAAACAGAGTGTTCTAACTGTCACGGGCCGCACGCAGCGTACTCGCGGACATGTGAACTTTTCAAAAAGGAAAAGGAAATCATCCAGATTAAAGTAATGGAGAACATAACATTCTCTGAAGCCCGGAAGAAGGTGTGACTCTTCTCCGGAAGAACGTACGCTGACGCAGCGCGCCGGGGGGCCGGGCGGCGTCTAGTGACGGTGGGCACGCAATACAGCTTTGCTGATGCGTGCACATCTCTGCCCCCCACCAAGCAGCCACAGGCTGCACCAACCTTTCACGTCCCGGAGGTCGAACTTCATCAGACCCCAGGGACCAAACAGACAACTGAGACACCTGTCTCTTCTGACAAACCTCCATTAGCTTCTGAGGGTCCACCGGAGGCAATGGAAGTGACACCAGGATCCTCAGCGTCTAAGACGCTGACGGAATCCTCCCAAGTGAGGCGGGGCTCCATAGATCGCCTCAGAGGGAAAAGACACCCGCCAGTTAAGCCTCCTAATAAAGGCAGCGAAGTGTGAATAAGTCACGCTCTTTTCCTCATTCATAAACATGGCTGCCGAAAATATTATCCAATGGAATTGCCGAGGCTTACTTAAGAACTTAGACGACATCTATGAAATATTTGCACAACACCAACCAAACATACTTTGCTTACAGGAAACACACCTAAAACCTACACACACTAGCCTTTTGAAAAGATATGTGGTATACCTAAAGGACAGAAAGGGCACTTCCCATTCATCTGGTGGTGTCGCTATCGTGGTGCAGAAAGCAGTTCCGTCTCAAAGCCTCACTCTGGTTACTGACTTAGAAGCAGTGGCAATACGAACCCTAATTTTTGGACGAGTAACAACCGTGTGTTCACTATACATCCCTCCAGACCAACAACTCTCTACTAAAGAATTTGAAACGCTCATCGACCAGCTTCCGCATCCATTTCTGTTGGTCGGAGATTTTAACGCGCACCACCCTTTATGGGGATGTAGAAGAACGGATTCTCGAGGCTCCTTAATGGAAAACTTTCTGTTGTTCTCCGGCTCCTGTATATTTAATAAAAAAGAGCCAACATACTTTAACGCAGCGCACTACTCATACGCAGCAATAGATCTTGCTATCGGATCTCCTTCACTCTTGGCAACCACTGAATGGGCTGTAATTCATAACCTCTATGGAAGTGATCATTTTCCTGTTTCTCTAAAATACAAAGGAAATACGAGTACAATGACTGTGAATGTAACCAGGTTTCGAGAACAGGGTGCGAACTGGACGAAATTCCGAAAACTCTCAAAACTATCGCGCTCATCAATTGAAACCCTAGGCATCGATGAATATGAAGCGTTGGTCACACTACACATTGCACAGGCCGCAGAGCAATCCATCCCACATACATCTAACAATACACTGAACAAAAGACGACCTTGGTGGAACTCTGAGTGCAAAAATGCTCGTGACAATCAAAACAAAGCATGGTCGAAATTCCGCAGGTATCCTACAGTCGAAAACTTGGTGATTTAAGCGTGCAAAAGCAAACGGTAGACGTGTCCGACGAGAGTCTAAGCGACAGAGCTGGCAATCCTTCCTCTCATCCGTGAACTCTTACACTGACACACATAAGGTCTATAACAGAGTAAGAGCACTCCAAGGGCACAGCACTCATTCGATGCCCCTTGTTAGTACTGCTGGTGATACACTTGAACACCAGGCAGATGCCTTAGGCCAACACTTCGAGTATATTTTCAGCTCAGCACATTATACAGACTCCTTTAGGCGATACAAACTTGCCGAGGAACGTAAACCTATTCGTGATGACAGGCCATCGGCGGGAGGGTACAATGCCCCCTTTACTACAGGTGAACTAAAGGCAGCACTGGCAAAGTGCGGCAGCTCAGCAGCTGGCTCGGACAGGATTACTTACGGCATGCTGAAACACCTACACGAAGAAACGCTTGACGTCATCCTCATTCTTTTCAACAGTGTATGGTCCTCTGGGCGTCTGCCCATGACCTGGAAAAAGGAAGTTATCATACCCATCCTTAAACAAGAAAAAGAAGCCACACTTGCTGCTAGTTACAGGCCTATAGCGCTGACCAGCTGTTTGGGCAAGGTGTTCGAAAAAATGGTGAATCGCCGCATTATGTATTACCTTGAATACAATGGCCTCCTTGATCGTCATCAAGCTGGATTCAGGTCTGGCCGGTCGACAACTGACCAACTGGTAGCATTTGAATCCTATGTCAGGGATGCCTTCATTCATAAACAGCACTGCCTATCTGTATTTTTCGACTTAGAGAAAGCTTACGACACGACATGGCGTTATGGCATTCTCCGTTACCTGCGATCTTTTGGGGTGTCAGGAAACATGCTGAATACTATTGAAAGCTACCTTTCTGACCGTACATTTGTGGTTCGTGTTGGTAATGCCTTATCGAAGTGGTTTACGCAAAAAAACGGCGTCCCCCAGGGTGGTGTTCTTAGCTGCACACTATTCATCGTAAAAATGAACTCCATAAGCACCATTATGCCTAGAACAATCTCTTACTCTGTATATGTGGATGACATTCAGATCAGCTTCAAATCATGCAACCTAGCCACATGTGAACGTCAGATTCAGTTGGCAGTAAACAAGCTGTCAAGCTGGGCAGACAAAAATGGGTTTAGGTTTAACTGTGACAAGACTGTTTGCGTACTCTTCTCAAAACTACGTGGCATAAGGCCACCCCCCAATATTTCAATTAACAGACAAACCATAACTACCAAAAAAGATCACAAATTTTTAGGTGTTGTGGTTGATGAAAAGCTCAGCTTTATTGCACATATCAAACAGCTATGACTTAAATGCTTGAAAGCCTTAAACCTGCTCAAGATTCTCTCACATCAGTCATGGGGCACAGATCGTGACTGTCTGCTGAACCTTCTCAACAGTGTAGTGCTATCATGTATCGATTACGGCTCGGTGGTTTACGAGTCAGCTTCAAGATCTGCATTGAAGATGCTTGACCCAGTGCACCATCTTGGGCTTCGGCTGGCCAGCGGTGCTTTCCGGACCAGCCCAACAGCCAGCCTGTATGTTGAGACAGACCGGTGGTCACTAGAACGGCGACGTCAGTTTACAAGTGTCACGTATGCCACCAAGGTGCTTTCCCATATCGACCACCCAGCTCGTGCGCTATTGCAGGATACATCGAACGCTCCCCTGTTTTTGAGGCGACCATCAGCTACGCCACCGTATCCCCTCAGAGTGGCCTCACACCTTGGAAATATGCACATACCGGTCTCCAGTCTTCAACTAACCTCTCACAAGGACACTGTTGTGCCATGGGAAATGCAGGCTATCGATTGTGACTTGTCATTCCTAGAGGTAGGAAAAAATGGCCACCCAGTCGCGATCGATCAACACTTCTAGTACCTGCAGGCCAAATACAGGTGTGCTGAATATTATACTGATGCCTCCAAGTCCTCCTCAGTCGCATGTGCGGCACACGGTCCCGCTTTCTCTGAATCTAGAACAATGAACGAACATACCAGTATATTTACTGCAGAATGCTATGGCATACTTTTAGCTGTAACGCACATTTTAAAGGAGAAAGAGCCAGCCTCGATCATATACACAGATTCTCTCAGTGCTGTGACTGCGCTGTCCTCCA